TTGTGGCCGACGCCTCGAGGGGTGGGGCAGGAGCATCCCGGAGGCCGGGGGAGTCCGGCCCTGGTGAGCGGCTGTCTTGGGGCAGGGCGGCGTGAAACTGGGCTGGAAAGGAGGGAAGTTATAGGCAAAGAGAAAAAGGAGAGATAAAGACAAGTTAGGGTAAGGAGGAAGCTAGAAGAGGAAGTTTTTCATCGCATTCCTCAAAAAGGGGTCAAGACAAAGCTACCTGAGAGGTGAGCTGTGGAGGGCTGGCGAGGCCTGGCTGTAGCAAGGTCTAGCGAGTCACAGATGGGAGCCCTGAAGGAGAGAGCTCGCCTCCCCTCACCACACAGAGTCTTTCAGGAACCACTGAGGTCATCTGACAGAACCTTAAGCTGCTGGGTTTATCCCCCAGCTTTCTGGCTTTGTTCTGTCCTTTGAAATAGAGCCATGGTCCTAGGCAGCCTTGGGGTCTAGCCAGTCGATCCAGTCTCCTTAGAGGTGCTTGTGACTTGTGACTTTTGCCCTGGCCCTGGGCCCTACCCTCATTCTCCCAGGACCTCTGTTAGGAAGGTGGCCCCCTCCTCTTCCACCCCCCCACTGGGGTATATGGATGGATTGAATCACCTAAGTTTTCCACGAGGGAGACAAACAGGATATTAGCTCCTGGAAGATGAGGAAACAGGCAGTTTACCTGGGCTCGTGACTCATTGTTAACACCCCCGACCATACACACACGCGCGCGCGCATGCACACGCACACGCACACGCAAAAGTTTTGGTTCTGATTCTCTCAAAGGGAGAGTAGTTATGAGAATGATGTTGAGAAAGGGTTTTGGAGGAGTTATGAGCACTGAACTCTGACCTAGAAACCCTGGCCATAAAAGCTGAGGAGGCTTGGGGAAAACAGCTGAAGTGGATTGGTGTGCCTTCAAACACAGTCCTCCAGCCGCCTGGCCCCTTCCTTGTGGGGCGGTTGGGCCTGAATCCTCTCTTTTCTCCCGCCTTCTCCCAGTCTCTTATCCTCTCTAAGAGGGGCTGGGGGATGCATTGGAAAAAGAGCACGAGAGGAGATAAGGAGAGTCTAGGCTGGAGTTAGGAGGCCCTAGTGGACTCAGAGTTGTGTCTGGGCATGGCCTCGTGGGTGCCATCTTGTTTCCACACTGGACAACTTGCAGGCGTAGGGCAGTAGGATTGCTGTGTCTCAGGGAGGTGCTGGTGAGGCGGACCTGAAGGCTGTTAAAGTGAGACTGAGATGTCCCTTGACCAGATTAACTGCCTGCAGTAACTCACTAGCTACAAAGTACTTTTCTGATCACTGCTGGGGGAAAAGAAGCGCTGGCCACCTTGTCCCTGGCAGGACAGGTCCACGCGAGCTTAGGATCCTTAAGCTGTTCTTCTCCACAGCACATGGTGATGAGTTTCCGGGTGTCTGAGCTCCAGGTGCTCCTCGGCTTTGCTGGCCGGAACAAGAGTGGACGGAAACACGAGCTCCTGGCCAAGGCCCTGAACCTCCTCAAGTCCAGCTGTGATCCCAGTGTCCAGATGAAGATCAAAGAGCTTTACCGTCGGCGCTTTCCCAGGAAGACCCTGGGGCCCTCTGATCTCTCCATGCTCTCTCTGCCCCCTGGCACCTCTCCTGTAGGCTCTCCTGGCCCCCTAGCTCCCATTCCCCCAGCCCTCCTGGCCCCTGGCACCCTGCTGGGCCCCAAGCATGAGGTGGACGTGCACCCCTCTCTTGCCCAGCCCGTGCACCCCGATGTCACCATGAAACCATTGCCTTTCTATGAAGTCTACGGGGAGCTCATTCGACCTACCACCCTCGGTATGGCTCCTGTGATCCTTCAGTCTTCTAGGCTGGACTCCTTTCTCAGTTGTAGTCCTGTGGGACCAGCAGTCTGGGGTGGAGACAGCTCCTGTGGCTGCCAGTGCACGGTGTGGGACTAACTGCCTCTTTGTGTCCTCAGCATCCACTTCTAGTCAGCGGTTTGAGGAAGCACACTTTACTTTCGCCCTCACCCCCCAGCAAGTACAGCAGATTCTCACGTCCAGGTACATCTCTTTCAGTCCTTTGGCTTCATCTGTGTGTGTCCACCCCAGACTCTGCTCTCTGCCTTTTCTGTTCCACTCTCCCTGTCACTCCTCCCGTACCTGCTTTGCCTGTCATTCTTTCATGTGTCTGTTCTCTGCACCTCACCTCTGGGGGCCACACGCTGATATCGCTCCCTCTCCCTCCCTGTTACAGAGAGGTTCTTCCAGGAGCCAAATGTGATTATACCATACAGGTGCAGCTTAGGTGAGTGGCTGCCCCGTCTCTACCCCGCTGGGCTCCCCGGAGATGGAAGTGAAGTAGGGGTGTGTGACAGATACTCCTGTGAGGTAGCTGCGCTCTGCCTCTGTCTGCTCTAGCTCTGGGATTGCTGGATACAGAGGGCTAAGAGATCCATGACCAGTTTTCTGGGGTCGCCTGCCTCTGCCAGATTGAGCCCAAGAAACTGCTTTCTATCCTTTCATCCTCTTATTCCTCACCAGGTTCTGTCTCTGTGAGACCAGCTGCCCCCAGGAGGATTATTTCCCCCCCAACCTCTTTGTCAAGGTCAATGGGAAACTGTGCCCCCTGCCGGTAAACGTTCTTCTTCTTTGGGCAGCAACCCCTCCAGTTTCAGTGCATAAATATTAGCTACAAACCTCCTAGGAAAGAGATAAACCTAGGATAGTGCCTGCTGCGGAGTAGGTACTCAGTTTACTGACAGAATCAGTGTACTCTGGAGAATACTAAGAGCTGAACGGAGGTTCTGTCAGGACCTTGAGAAGGCACATTAATTCAACTCAAAGGTTCAAGAAAGGCTTCTTAGCTCTGGGTATGGTGGCAACCTCCTTTATCTCAGCATTCAGAGGCTGAAGCAGGAGCATTGCGAATTCAAACTAAGCCTAAGCCTGGGCCTTAGGAAGA